CGACCGGATAGAGTAGGTAAAAGAAGACCACAGTCAGAATAATATTCGTAAAGAAGTTGACCACGGTAAACGGTATCGATGCGATGCCGCGAATGCCAAAGTGGCAGCGTCCGTCCGATTCGTGCAACTCGGTGACGTGGTTCAGATAGGAGTTGATGGCAACAGTACCGTACAACACGACGATCATGGCCATGCAACATAGGTATATCTTATCTTTTCGCCTATTGACGAAAGGCGCGCGGACGACATGGATGCGTTCGACCAAGAAGATATAGCTACCATATGTTAGCAAATAGCCGGGCTTCGTCGATGCACACTTACATGATAGCTTTGATGAGCGTGTAGAAGATCAAGCAAACCCATGTTCCCGCAACGCAGAGCTCGTAGGTATAGAGCCCCTGGCCTGCCACAAGAACGGCTGAGCAGATGATGAACATCAAGACCAGTACGTATAGCATGAAGACAAGCGCAGACATGAGGCGATGCTTTCTCAAAATGCGGCGTTTTAGTTTCTCGAACCGTGAACCTATGGTCTGTGTCAGAAAGTGAACGCACGACTGGTCCAAACTTGATGGCGTGATGCATGTTGCAAAGGCCATCGTCTGGCCTTGAGATCGATTGGGTACGGAAGAAGAACTAACCCAGTAATAGTGAGCACACCATCATGCACAACAAAGATATGATCGTGAATATTGACCTATCCCGTGGAAGTTCGCCATTGTCGATAAAAACGTTCGAGTTCCGAAAGTCCTCTTGCCGCACCTGTAGAGGGAGGGCTTGAGCAGCGAACGTCTGCATCAAGAAAAGACAGGCGAACAGCCTCATTCTTGACAGCAGTTCGGAACCGAGATCGAGACGAGTCGTACGCGTTCGCAGAAAGAAAGACGTGATCAATAATCATTCGATTGGGGATCCTTGAGTCCTTAACTGGACCCTTTTCGCAACCTGACATCTGTCCTGGTCCCACAAAATGACGCTCCATTATTTTCTTCTTGCGTAAATCATATGGTCAAGCCTATGATCGACCGGGAGTTGCTAGGGACTGTGGCGCTGAGGGCGATCGTTTTGCTTGACTTCCAATGTTGCGTGAGGCTGATTGGGTTTACGCTAGTCATGCGGAGAAGGGGCCGGCTGGCCGATGCGGCCTCGAACGCGAGATTCCCGGTGAGAAATCCACGTGCGTGCCGCTGCTCCCGTTCCTAGCAGCTGTTGGATGCGGTTTTTCTCAAATATCTCCGTCAGGGACAGGGTCGGTATTAGAGGCCGGTGTGCATTTTGCTTTTTCTACCTGACAGGTGTCATGGCTCGCTGATTCTTACCAGATGTCGCGATGTCTCAACCATCCATACTTCACCCATTCGTACCCCACGTTGTCGTGCGGAAAATCCTGTTGGCTTCCCCTGGCGAGGATCCTAGTCCAATGTCTAACTGGATCTCGTCCCTTTGGAGCCAATATTGCCGTATCGGGATTGCGACAATCAGCCCGAACGCCATTGCGCCATTCTCTTGCTCTGCTGAAAGATCCTGATCTTGATCTCCGAGGGTGAGTTTTGCCGATGTTGCAACGGCCTGTTCTTCGCTCACAGGCAACGTCTCGTTCCATCCCAAGAATAACCATAGTCAGGATAGAGCAAATTCGATGTTCCCTGAGGCAGGCGAAGATGTGCCCAGCGGGACCTTGCACGTCTCCTGTCTTCTCCAAAGAGACAGCTGGTGAAGCTGAACAGTACACAGCCCTCAGATCTGGCAGGGGTCGCAGGGATGCTGAATCATAGTAGTCTGAACGAGTGGCTCCGAGGAACGAGCTGAGCAGATTGACTTCGGAAACTCACGAACAACTGTGGGGACTCTGGTAAACTTTGCGTACACTCTTCGCACGTTCGTACCCCACGCCGTGGGGTGCAAGGAGCATTGCGAATCCTCGGCCAGAGGTGGTTATACGAGCATGTGATTGATACAAGGTCGTTTCGAACGATGATCGCTGGTATAGGCGCGCTGCGAGAGCATCCTGAAACCCCTGCTGGTATCCACGGGGAATTTCTCGTTACAGCCCATGTTGCTGATCACACTTCTATCCAGATGTAGAATTTGATCCCCTAACGGCCAGAGAATGTTGAAAAGATGCGCGCGGTCTTCTGATACTGCGTGGAGAAGCAGCTGCGGCAGGTCAGTAAGCCCTTGAAGTGGCGTGTGGTAACTGACTTGTTCGCCCAGTGCGCGTTCAACCAGCTCCTCCCGCGAAAGCTCAATGAAGACATCGTGAAACCGGCCTTCTCCGACTGCAACTAGTGGTGATATATTGACTTTCGCTCGGTCATACATCAAAGTAGGAACACAGCCGCATTGCATGCAACCTTGAAAGTGAAGGTTGCCAAATGTGATGTGCGTGTGCGATGCGCGTCCCGGCGGATGTCGCGCATACGCGCACGGCGCGTCGCGCTAGAGCGGATCTGGACTTGCCGGATCGCTGATCTCCGAAAGCATCTATGTAGCCATCCACTCACAACTCTACAACTGCACCTCAACCAATAATGAGTGGCGATACAAGATTGAAAAAGAAGCGGAGGGGCGGCCCGCGCAGTAGAACAGGTATGTACCGTGATCTATGAAACTCTGCTGCGATGCTGAGATAAGCTAATGCCATCAAGGTTGGTACGTCTGGCTGCTATTTTCATCGCGAAAACCTGTACTTCTGGCTGACTGAGTCGCTCCAGCGCCACCTGCAAACGCCGTCACACTCGCTGCGATGAGAAAAGGCCAGTATGCGGGAACTGTGAACGCCTCAACCTCGACTGCGAGCTATCCGAGGAGATCGTATGGGCTACCCCTCGTGTCGATACAACACCGGACGAACCAAACAATGATACGCCGCTTCTCGTTGACGTGTTTAGGACACGGATGAATGATCTTGACCTTCCTGAAGACACTTTGTCAAATCAGAACTACATACCTGCTAATGGTGTCACGACAACAGGTTCCGACGAAGCGAATGGTCCGAAGAAGGTACGCTTGACACCAGAAAGCGCCTTTTTACTCCAGACCTATGTACGCACCGTCGCAACATGGATGGATATCTTTGATCATGCCAGTACCTTTCAGCACAAAATCCCACAGCTGGTCCTCAGATCGCCGCTTCTGTTTCACTGTGTATGCGCCTTTACCGCCAACTATCTAGCCCTTTCCAATTCGAGCAATGATCCTTCTTGGCAAGTCACAGCTTCCAAGCATTATGGCGAGTCGTTGCGCCTACTCATAGAAGCTTTGAGCATGCCTTCGCACGAACATGCGCTTACCGCAAGTATGCTGCTCTTGAGCTACGAAATCCACGGAGCCTTGCGCTCTGAAGACTACCGGCGACACTTCCTAGGCCTTACAGTATTAATCAAATCACGACATGTTACCGCACAGTCAAGCGGCACTGATCTGGCCAACTTCTGGATCTATATCCGACACGAGATCGTTGTAGCTATGGCTAGCGAGCAGCCTCTGGTACTAGACCCTGCAGAATGGGAGGTGTCCTGGGTAGAGGGTGAGACTAGAGAAGATATTTTGGGAAACCACATGCTTTGGATATTAGCGCGAGTTCTCAATCTCATTTTTGGACCAGATGGACGAACTGAAGCAGGTAAAGAGCAGCGCCAAAGCTTCCTGCACGAGATCGAAATGTGGCGAAGGGGGCTTTCTGACACGTTTGTTGGTATTTCATATGGGGAGAAAGACGAAGATGGCTTTGGCAAAGTATACTTCCCAGTGGCGGCCGCAGCCGCCACAGCGTTTTGTACGTTTATAGACGCACGTAGCGCTCAACATAATCTAACGGGTTCAGGGTATCACATAACACATATCCTGCTCTATGCAGAGCCAGAGCTTCAAGACGAGGCATACATTCCCCTGATCCAGGAGCAGGCTATGGAGATTACCAACATAGCAATATCAGATTTCCCCCCATCGCTGATGGTATTCTCTACGCATGGTCTCTTCTATGGTACGTATCCATTCTTCCGGCTACACATAGTCAAATTATTATTCGATCACAGCGAAACGGTCACTGATACGTTCCAGCCGCGAAACATATCCATGGGATCTCAAGAAAGGCGCGTATCTGGAACGTCTTGAACGAGGTTGAGCGGCAAACTGGATACAATACGAATACGACCGTGAGGCTTCTTCAGGCTTTGATAGAGGAAGGCGCGCAAAATCGAAGCGCAAGCATCTTATGAGCGATTCCTACTGCTTCGAAAGCAAAGCCATCGTAATTCACCAGTCTCCGCCTACCAAGTATCTGGAGAATGGCCGGCATCGGACCGAGCCGCCTCGTTGGTCAGCTGCGGGCTGAAGCGAAGCCAACGACTGATCAAGCATTGACTGCGAGGCTTCCGGGGTGATGATGGGGTCGGAAGTTTTCATCCTATCGCATTGTCTGGGTGTAGCGAATTCGGTCACACTCCAGAATAGTGGCGCGTAGAGCACACCTCTTACTGGTAACCATTGCCGTTACCCACCCCACGTACATCCTCAGGCCCAACACGGATGCTGGAAACAATTCAAAGACATCTCCAAAGACATCTTCAAAGACATCTTCAATCACGATTTCAAATTTCCTTATCTATCAGGTTTCGTTCCAAGACAGAGCTGTGACAAGATTTGGCATGCGCAGCCGGGTTCTGGCGCACGTCGCGAGGCTGCGCCGCCTGCACAGCCCGCGAACAGTCGGGTAGGCAGCAGCAACACAACCAGTCGAAAGATGTCCCTTGTTCTAACAAGCGACTGGGCAGCGCAAATCAGTACCCTATTCGCGACATCTCTGAGCGTATCGCATGAACTTGTTCAGCTTTTGGATATCGTCAACGCCACAACTTCGTTTATGCGCGGGTAGTCTCAGCCATGCACGACAGGTTGTTTCGCGCAGCCTCCACGAGAGCGTTGATGGGACGTTGGTTATATTCGCCACTCCAACCGATTTCTGAAATGGCATATTCGTCATTATCTCTCACTCTATTATGGCACCTCCACTCAACTCTCAGGATGATCGTGCAGCGTTTGTTGACGCTTGTATCAACAAGCGTAAGAAAGCGATGCATGCCTGGGAGTCTCTTGGCTTGATCAGTGAGAAGTTACATGATGAGCAACACGGCTACTTCGTCAACAAGGAGAAGGCAGACAAGGCTAACGAACTGCAAAGAGTGGTTGAGGGAATAGCAAAGTCGTTTGCTACGTCGTATCGTGGCACCATTGAAGAACTCCATACTTACCTGGCTGAAGACAATGCCTTCTCGGAAGATGTCCTCCGGCTCGGACAAGAATTTGGAGTGAAGATATGGGGTCGTATAGAAGACGGCGAAATACGCTCGTCAGGTGAATCCCAAGGAAACGGCATCGAGGAGCAGGACTGGGACGACCCAAAAGACCGCCAGAAGTGAGCACTTGATGCGTTCTCATGAACGACTTTACTGACGCCCTCTTAGTATTCTGTTCTACATCCGATGCTGGCTCATATGTACCGTGGTCAGAGAGTACAAGGCGACTCCACGAAAAGGGAAAGCAAAAGGTCGGACCCGAGACTTGAGGGTAAAGTAGCCGTCACGAATAGCTCTCAAGATGTCTTGCTAACTTGTCACTAGTATGTAGCTCCCTTGCGATGCTTTGCCAACGCGGTGCTGAGACATCTTACTATTCGTGCTAACAGCTTGACAGTCCATCTCAAGATAATCAACATGAAGACCCCATCGAAGATCTCGCAGAATCTGATAGCCCTAGAATCATAGGCGTATCTTTTAGAGCGCCAGAGCCACCACGCATGTATCCAACACCGGAACCGCGCAGAGATACGACATTCGCCAGTGCCAACGAGAAGATTACAAGCACTAGTTTCACCTCCGTGAACAAGACCACCACACCGAGTAAGAGGAAAGCGCAGTATTCCCACGAACAAACACCTTCTGGGAAGCTCTCGAAGCCTTCAAAGGGCGTTCGAACAATCCCTGTCCTCACTAACCAGTCACGAGATCCCTACTCGATCTCCATGTCTCCTCCCACGTTCTCCCCCATATCCCCTCCTGCGGTTCCGAACCTGGGCCGCTCATCGTTTCAAAGACGTAGAGAGACCACATACGACTCAGACGCGACGTGGGCACCGCCTCGTGAAGAAACCGCAGACGCGGAAACGGTGGTCGATGCGGAAGATGTCCATCCCGGAGAAGTCGGTAAGTTCATTATTCCGACAGCAACACTGAACGTTGAAGCTTACCTTGATTAGATTCAAGAATCCAGAATGATATCGCTACGTCCAACGCAGATGAGATGCAATACGAGTACGATAACGACATCAACAACGCCGCCGGCCCATCGGGCACCTACCGAAACCCCCTCAGACAGGATTCCGTCATACCAGATACACAAACGCAAAACGATGCAGTAGACTCTATCATCTACCCTCCAAGTGGCCAAATCATTGTAACCGACGAAGACACATCAAGCGACGCATATACCGACGCCATAATCCGCTCTCTCATCTCCAACCCCTCTCCCACGACGCGGCAAACGCGCATATACCGTCTCGAACTCTATAGACTACTCGTCTCCTACCTGAACGGTATCAAGAACTTCGATCCCACCAACTACGACTCCGCTGCGGAAGAACGCATGGACTTTCTACTCAACCAATTTCACTGCACTGATGCTGATGCCTGGCATTCTGATCATAACGACAGCGCACTTCGCCTACATCTCGCGTTCGAGAAGTGGATGAGCATGCGTTACCGTCTCGCCGCGTTTCGCAGCGTGACGGGATATTTTGGCCTGCCGGGGAGGCAGTGGGAGGAGTTTCTGAGGGGTCTAGATGATGTGCCGCATGCGGAGGCTATTTTGGCTTTTGTGGATCTGAAGGACGCCGGGGATGGGGAAGAGGGTGGGAGGGTGCTTGGTGATGGGTTTGATAATGATCTTATGATGATGTTTGATGGCTTAACGAAGTTTCAGGACTGTAATGGGCCGGAGGCTTTCAAGGGTGTAAGGAAGTTTAATGAGAGGTTGTTAGTGTGGTTCAGGGATGAGTGAACGGGTGGAGGTAGATGCAAGACAAACCATATAGAAGACGCAACTAAGACGATTAATGATGCGCTTGCTAGTTTGAGAACCCTCACCATGAAGTCTTGAGGTAAGGTAAAGGCTCCGGTTGCTATGGGGTATATGGACGGATCACACCTGCATAGTTCGGAACGTTGTAGTATCTGGGCACCTATGGAGTGTAGGATCTCTCGCCCACACAGCTTTGCAGCGACCATGCATCCGCCCTTCGCGATCACACTCTCCATGATTACGACCATTCCTTCTTGCTTCCAGTCAGCCAGTAACTACCAGACTTGTCACGACACGCAGCAATTATCCGGCCCAAGGTCCAGCGCTGGCGCGGAGGGCGATTGCTTCGATCGAGCTTTCGAGAATGCACGAGCGGGAAAGTGGGTAGAAACCCAAGGTGGCTTTTGAATGGAAGTAGGCGTGGATCTCGTTGCGGAGGAAACGACATGTCACGGATAACTCGGGCGGTGGGGCTCTTTGGTCGATGTAAGCGGTTAATTGCTCACATGGGTGCGCAGTCCGATTCCGCTTAGGTTCCTGGCGGCAGAGATGGTCGTAGATCTCGTAGCGCAGTTCTTTGGGGAGACGGAGGAGAGGGCTGGAGGGAGTGGATGAGGACATGGTGGGTGGTGGAAATGCAGGCGGCAGATGATGTGGATTGGGTTGAGGGTACGAAGGTCTATCCAGACGTTTGAATAGAAGATGATAAGAAGAAGGCAGATTTATGACAGTCAGTCACTGTATGGATGTGACATGTGGGTGGGCGTTGTGGCACGCCTTGTGATGCATGATGACGTACTACCTGGGGTGCTTTGGATTTGGGTGATCTGGTCATGGACGAAGAGGTCGTATTCGCGATATCCCGGAGCCTGACCTTTCCAAGCAGTGCAACCAACAGTAAACTATTGCATGCATCATTGCCACTAGCAGGTCGCAAGTAACTCAAAGAGCACGACATTCAGAAAGAAGCATATAATTGTGGCATTTTCCGTAATTGCTCCAACGCCATGCGAATGCAACATCATTTCGAAGACGAACAATAATACTGTAATCTAGCTCCACAGCCTCAGCGTCCCATCCGCACCAGCCGACACACACCACGGCTCCCTGGGATGCCAATCCAGACCCATAACACCCAACCTGCTCTTGACCTTGTGTCCGCGCAGTACCTTCAAAGGAACGATAGTCGCGTTCTCCATAAGATCACCCACAACCTTGCCGTGGAAAATTTGAATAGTGCCATCGTCGGAGGTATCGGCGAAGAGGGGCAGACCTCCCTGGTGGAAGCGCACTGAACGGATAGCTTCCTTGTGAAAACGGAGGGTCTTGTAGGGTTTGTTGGAGAGATCGAGGTCGTGCCAGAGGAGGCGCTGGAGGGGGTATTAGTATGCGCTTTACTAGTGCTCTGGTATATGGGAGACTTACCTTGTCGTAGGTTCCGACAATGATGTTGTCACCACCGGGGTGCACATCGATGGACGAGATCCATTTAGCACCTGGTTGCAAGATCTTGACGAGCTCCTGCTTGGCGAGATCGTAGCTGCGGATGGTGTTGCGGGTGGCGACGAAGAAGATGGCTTTGGAGGGGTGGAATTGGGCGGTTTGCGCGATACCCTTGAGGCGGCGGAAAGGCAGTTGCGTGAGGTGTTTCGAGACGGTGTGGATGGCTACTGCTGTGCTTTGACCGCGGGGCGAGACTGTGGCAAAGTAGTCTCCTCTCCGGTGCCAGTTGACTATCTTGACTGCTGCTCGAACTTCGATTTGGACGAGAACGCCCTTGTTCTCCAAACGGGCTCCTGGACGACTCCACTTGCCTGGTGCTGCTTTGGGCGCCTCACCGAATGTTGTTGTCGTGGGCTTCGAGGCTGCGTAACCCCAACCGGCGTCGAGAACCTCGCGACTGGCTTGCTCAATGTCCGGTGAAAGAAGTGTGAAAGGTACGATTAGGTAGACGTTCTCGCCGCAAGCAGCAGCTACTACGGATGTCTCCTTGGTGGGTCTCCATTGTACGGCGTCCACAGCCTCCTCATCTGATAGTTTTGCGTTCCAGACCTGGCGACCAGTCAATAGCTCCCAGATCCTTACGTAGCCGTCGTCACCTCCACTGGCAACAAAGATACCGTTAGGATCGACCGAAACACAACGAACACGTCCTTCTTGTCCGCGGTATATCGCTGCGCATGTAGTCGGGAAAGGCTTGAGCTCTTCAGGGTTCGGCAGCTTAGGTAGCAGTGATTCAGGGTCGATGTTGAGTCGGTTTCTCCGGATACGGGGAGCCAAGTAGAGATCCAAGCTCCGCTCAAACCGTTCCTTGACGAATGTCTCGTAACCAGGAACCTTGCGCAGGGCATCGTAGTTCTTGGGCAGGAAGTCTGTCTCCCGCTCCTCATCGTCTTGCTCCAGCCACTTCTGCTCCTCAACCTTATCTGGCAAGTACTCGGGCGGTGGGTGGTAGCTCGCTTCGTAGCCAGGCGGTGGCAGCTTGGGTGCGGGGATGTGCATTGTGTTGTCGGGGCGGGGCTTCTCGTCGGCCCATACGTCAAAGGTGAAAACGTCTTGCTCTTCCTCCTGCTCCTCCGGTGCCCTGTATGGCTTGATGCGGCCTTCCCTAATCGCCTTGACGATCTTCATGACGCGCTTCGCTTCGTGCTTGGAGGGGATGAATCGTCGCTTGGGCTCTGGCGCAGCGCTCAGTGGCATAATCTCCGTGTTGACGCCAGAGAAGTAGGCGACCATCTCTGGGTATGGGTCGTAACCATCTTCCACGATCTCATTCCTTGTAAGCCTCTTGAGCACATCCAACTCCTCGGGCGACAGGTTCAGCGGCTTTCCTGTCTGGGGATCCGTCAAGCCTGTCCAGCCCTTGGGTATGTCGATACTGTCCAGCAGCGCATCCAGCGCCTCTCCCTTAGCCGGGCGCATGATCTTCTTGCCGTTGATATCGTAGCCAATATGCGGGTATTCATCGTAGTACTTGAGGTCGATGTTGCCAATCGTGTTGGTAGCTTCGGCGTCAGAATCGTCGGATTCGTAGACCGGGTCGATCTCTTTGTAGATGTAACGAGTGTTGCCGTGCGCATCGGTGGTGACAGTGTAGTTGGGCTTCAGGTCTTCATCGTCTTCTAGTTCTCCATTTGCGCCACCCATGTCCAGATCCATCTCGTGTGTAGGTACTCCATTCTTCTTGCGCAGTGGAACATCCGAGGTATTCAGGTTGCGCATTTCCTCACGAATCTGCTCTGCATCGCTGTCTTCCTCCTCCTCTTCATCTTCGTCGGAAAGACCCTCAATCACACTGCTAGCATCGGTATCGGCGCCTTCATCTTGGCTGTCGTCCGAGTCGTCCTCGGAATGCGACAGGATGCCCTCGAGCAGTCCGTCGGCCAATTCACCTTCCGAGTCACTGGGCTCGGGCGCCGGGCGCGTCACTACCTTTCTCTTGCGCGGGTTGACTGACATTTTGGGCGTTTGATGTTTCCTCCTCACGTTCACCGCGGACTGTCGCAACTTCCCAAAAATTATCGCTAGCGTCCAAGATTTCGGCTTTAGCGCGTCGCACGTGCCAGGCTGCCATCAGCCAAGCATATCCTCGGAGACTCTACAGCAACTTTATCGCAAACTCCGCAACTCCAACTCTCTGTTTACCCCACGCAATTGCAACCACCACCCGCATCTGCTACGCCAAGACGCCACCTCAGACTGATTGCAGCAGTAATTCCACCGACTCACCATGGCGACGCGCCACTCTGACTACGATCGTAGGCGCCATTCCCCGCGCCGCGACCGCGAACGCGGAGATCGTGGAGACCGCTATGGCGAAGGCCGCTTCAGAGACGACCGTGACCGCCGAGACCGCCGCGATGACCGTCGAGAGCCTGACCGTCGAGACCGCGACCGCGGCGACACGTACCGTCGACGTTCGCGCTCCCCGCCTCGCCGCCGCGACCGATCCCGTGACCGAGGAGACCGTGCCGACCGTGGAGACAGCTACAGGCGCGACCGCGACGGTGATAGAGACCGGCGTCGCCGCTCAACCTCCCGCCGCCCTGGTTCCCGTTCATCTGCTACACCTGCACCTGGCTCAGACAGCTGGAGGCGCGATGACGGCAGACGCGACGACAGCAGGCGCGATCGGCTAGATCACTCCTCGCGCGACGACAGGAAGAAAGACCCCGAGACCCAAGCCAAGGACAAGCTTGCAGACCGCGCTGCGAAGCTGGCTGAGTGGAAGAAGCTCAATGCCGAGCGCCTGCTCAAAGAGAAAACCGACACACCCGGCTCCGGTACTTCGCCAGCTGCCACTGCACCTGCGACCCCGTCAGTCACTGCGACGCCCCCGCCAGCTCCGGCATCTGAGGCCAAGCTTGTTGATACCGCTAAGACCAAAGTCATTCCGCAGAAGAGTGCTACTGAGAAAGTCAAGCAGAAGCAGCCCGAGAAGTCGACCTTCAGACTGGATGCTTCCGCCGCAGCCCGTCCTCTAGACATGGCCAAGCCTGCAGGCAAGACTGTCACCAACGCTAGCAGTATGTTCATCCCAAACCCTCTCATCACGAACCACAAGCTTACACGTACAGACGTTCCCATTGTTAAGGGCAATGGTAACATTGGCTCGTTCGGTCTCAAGACCAAGACTGCTGCTGAGACTGAGGAAGAGAATTCCAGAAAGGCATTGCTCGACGAGGAAGGCCCGACCCGCAAGCGCAAGCTACAGGCTCTCCCCGAATTCGACGCCAACGAGGCACCCTCGCTCGAAGCCGACGGCGACGCCGACTCTCCAATGAGTGACATCGGCAGTGATGACGAGAACAACGCGGAGCTTCAAGCTCGCCTTGAGAAGCGTCGCGCTGAGATCGCCAACGAGAACCAAGAGGACACTGCCATGGAAGAGGCAACTGCTGTCGAAGCCCCTGCCGACGACAAGATGGAAGTTGACGAAAATGCAGGCGCCGAAGAAGATGACGTCGATCCTCTTGATGCCTTCATGGCCGATCTCACTGAGCCACAACCAAGCCGCGGAGCTCCTTCGGGTCAGACTATGTTTGCTGACGAGCTTGAGACTGTCGAGACTTCCGTCGAACATGAGGACCTTAACGAACTTCGCGCTGCCAAGAAAAAGAAGAAGAAGGAGGTGCCTACCGTCAACCACGATAAAGTTGAGTACGAACCGTTTAGGAAAGACTTCTACACTGAGCCCTCCGAAGTTGCACAGATGACACCTGAGGAGGTCGCAGATCTTCGCCACGAGCTCGACGGCATCAAAGTCAAGCCTGATGACGTTCCCCGTCCTGTTACCAAGTGGGCGCAGATGGGCCTGCTGCAAGCTACCATGGACGTCTTCACCAAGATCGGCTACGAGAGGCCTACAGGTATCCAGTCCCAAGGTGTACCCGCTATTCTATCTGGCCGAGATCTCATCGGAGTCGCCAAGACCGGTTCTGGAAAGACACTTGCATTCGGTATCCCTATGATTCGTCATGTCCTTGATCAGCGCCCACTGAAACCAACTGATGGGCCTATCGGACTGATTCTCGCCCCAACCCGAGAGCTAGCACTGCAGATTGTCAACGAGCTCAAGCCATTCCTTGCAGCATCGGGTGTTACCATCAAGTGTGCCTATGGTGGCCAGCCTATCTCTGAACAAATTGCTATGATCAAGCGTGGTGGCATCCACATCCTATGTGCAACTCCCGGCAGAATGATTGACCTGACCAACGTCAACCAAGGCCGAGTGCTTTCTTTCCGCCGCATCACTTACGTTGTCCTTGATGAAGCTGATCGCATGTTCGATATGGGCTTCGAGCCTCAAGTCATGAAGATTCTTGCCAATGTACGTCCTGATCGCCAAACTGTCCTCTTCTCAGCAACTATGCCCAAGAACATGCAATCCTTGGCTCGCAAAGCACTGCACAACCCAGCCGAGATCACAATTGGTGGTAAGAGCAAAGTAGCTCCCGAGATTACTCAGATCATCTCTGTCGTACCGAACAGTTATGAGAAGAAGATCAACAAGACTCTGCTGTATCTTGGTCAGTTGTTCTCTGAAGACGAGAATGCCCAGGTATTGATCTTCACTGAGCGGCAAGAGACAGCCGAAGATCTTCTGTCCAAGCTTTACAAGTCTAAGTATTTCTCTGTCAACACGATTCACGGAGCTAAAGATCAGACTGATCGTAACGAAGCGATCAACGACTTCAAGCAAGGTGTTCTTTCGATTCTCATTGCCACATCTGTAGCCGCCCGTGGTCTTGATGTCCCTGGCCTGGCTATGGTCTTGAACTTTGATTCGCCAACCCATCTAGAAGATTACGTGCACCGCTGCGGACGTACCGGCCGTGCTGGCAACAAAGGTACCGCTGTTACGCTTATCGAGAACCCCGGTCAAGAGCGCTTCGCTCTTCACATCGTCAAGGCACTCAAGGAGAGCGGTACAGAAGTGCCTCCAGAGCTCCAGGAGATGGCTAACACATTCCATGAGAAGGCCAAGGCAGGTACCGAGAAGTACTATGGCGGTTTCGGTGGCAAGGGTCTCGACAAACTCGATGCAGCACGCGCACTTGAGAAGAAGCGCGAGAAGCGTCAACTTAAGCTGGAAGGTGTTGACGAGAGTGAAGACGAAGAAGAGATTGCACCACTCATCAAGAAGCCCGAGGTCGCTGGCCCAGCTGGTGTTGGTAACGCTTCTGGTCCTGCTGCAGCTGCCGAGGAAGATCAACCACACTGGATGAAGCTACTGAACAGCAAGATCGTGGTCAGCAAGACTGAGCGTCCCGACGCTGCCGCTTCTGGCAAGCCGATGACCGCCCGCGAGCGAGCCATGGCCGCTGCCTCCAAGGTCGATGGAAGGCTGAGCAAGAAGGGTATGATCCACGCGGGTCAGCCCATCGACAACAAGGGCCCCGATGCTGGTCTCTACCACTCTACCATCGAGATCAACGACTTTCCTCAGAAGGCTCGATGGGCCGTCACCAACCGCACCAACGTCGCCAAGATTCTGGAGCAGACTGGTGTTTCCATCACGACCAAGGGCAACTACTACCCAGCTCCTAAGCAGCCTGGTGAGAACGATCTACCCAAGTTGTACATTCTCGTCGAGGGTGACACCGAGAACATTGTCACTCAGGCTATGATGGAGCTCACTCGTCTTCTGCGCGAGGGAACCATTGCGGCTGAGGATGCCTCTGCGACTCGTGGTCCTACCGGCCGTTACAGTGTGGTATGAGAAGTTTCACTTCGGTAAGGTATGCTCGACACTTTTCTCTCTCTTGCCAGCGTTGCTTTCTGTTCTTTCAGCGTTGCTTTCTTTTCCATGGCGTCAGTCTACTGCATTGGGAGGAATGGTCAAATGGATGGATGGGAAGGGCACGGTATGGAGTTGAAGGTTTCGACAAAACACGGTCGTGCTACGATACATGCCTCTGGGCTGTACCAAAACGTAAGTTCTCACCTCATTGCTCCATCCAGAGTCAACGTTGATTTACACAACCCGTCACAGGTCTTTACTCTGCTACTGAGCCTTCGTCGGCAGCGACATCATTGTACATTACGGGCTCGGCCACACGGTTCGCCGACATGCGATATGCGGGAAGGGGAGTGGAGGCTTGACTCTGGTAGTTCTGGTAAAACATGTCTGGTACGAAGGAGTGGGGTCTTGACTCTGGTGCTTTTCCGTGCAGCCTGAGATGGCACGAGAGTGTAGCTTAAGATAACCTTCCAAATAAGAGGCATTTCTGGCTACCACATGAACTTCTTCGCGTGTTCATAACCAACCATATCTCGCACTGTTTACTCCAACTTCCCTGGCGGCCCTGACTCCCGATCTCCGGAGACGTGATACTGCATCGCGACCTCATAGCGGGCCTCCTCGCCGATCCTGTATACTCCATCAATAAATCTCTCCTCAACATCACCCTCTGCGTGACAATCAATAGATGCAGACGCGAACCGACATTTATTCATTCATTCCTCAGACCCAGATGCGTGGTACGACTACGCCGTATTGCCCTGAACACTGATGACGCAGCTCTACAGGACCCACGCCGCACCGCACTGACGCCATATCGCCTCCCAAGCTGCAGCTGCAGCTGCATCATCTGAAAAAACCCTCCTCGGGGGTATATCCATCGGAATATGTATGTGTAGGTGTAATGGCGCCATAGCTGCATGTCGCATGTTGCATGCTGCACCTCCCACTCCCACGCTCTCTCCCATCCTCCCCTCCATCCTCCATCCACCGAACCCCACGCCGCAACACTGCATCTCTCCTTCGCGTGTATCTCCGCCTATTTTAGGCCTTCTCCAGGACCACCTGCAGGGTCGATACATGTCTTAACCTCGCGAAAAAAGGAACCTGGACTATTCTGTTGATGATGCAGATGCAGGTGTAAGGCGCGTACGTGCGTGCGTTCTCGCTCGCAGAAAAAACGCACAGCACAGCCCTGCCTGCTGCCCCCAACGCCACTCGCTCCAGCTGGATCTGGATATCCCTTGGTCTCGGATGCGGCTCGGCGAACCCAGGTTCAGGGCGGGTTTTACAGAATGGGCGGATAGCGGTGGAGGGTGCATGGCGAAGGATGCACGCGGTAGGGTAGGTCTGCGGAAGGACGTTCCGCGGGGTTTGGTTGGTTGGTAGGGTTCTCGTTGGTAGAGGGTGGGGACTTGGTAAAGGGTAGGTGGGGTGAGGTTTGCGGCCAATCTTTTCATGTATTGGACTGATTTTTGGTCGCTGATGAGGTCGAAGGAATGGTTTCTGGTTGCTGAAGCGGTCGGAGGAAGTGTAGCAGGTTGATTAGCTGAGGCGTTGGAGGTATCCTTGCGCGATTAGGCGTTCGACGTCGCCTTGCCGGACGTAGAATTGGGAGTTTTTGGTAAGGGTTATGGAGCTGTGACGTCGGTTAGCTGTGGTGACTAGTATACAATATTTCGTATGCGGAAGGAAGGGTCGTAGGCTTCGGCATGCCGAGATGGCGGTCACGTACCCGTACTCTGTTTGGATCTCGCCGGCGTCCTTCAAGACGCGCACGTCGATGAAGAGATCGCGCGGCGGCTCCAGACTCCCCGTTAAATCGATATCCGTCCATTGACCCTTGTACGCAGCAAGCAAGTCACTGTATTGCCTCACATACTCCTCCTCTTCAGGACTCAAACTACTCTCTTCTTTCCCACCCCCAGCGCCCATCCCACTGCCCCTCCCCCCTTCCCCGCTATGGTCCTTGCTGCCCTGCTGTTCCAGCACGTCGACGCCCTCCCAGCAATATTCTTCTAGCTTGTCGCTCCGCACGCGGTGGTAGGCGAGTAGACAGCGCTTGTTCCGGCGCATGCAGAGATGGTTTACGAGGAGGGCGCAGGCGGTTTCGGGGGATGCGCTGGGGTTGAAAGACCCGCTGTAGGGGGCGAGGATGGATGAAACGTCTTTGTCGAGGTCGCGCACTTCGCGCACTATCGAGCGTGTGAGCTCCGAGGCGTAGGGTGGGAGATGGGGGAGGGCGAGGGTGCGTTTGGCGTTTTGGACCTGGGGGTGTTAGAGAGGCTGTGTAGTAGGCAGATGTGGTTGTTGTAGTTCTACCAATTTGTTGGCCGCTTCTCCATACATGGTTGTAGTGTGTGTTCGGGGTCTTATAGATGTCTTTTCCTTGGTGGTATGAGGAAGTAACGATCAAGCAAACGCGACTGTCACTGCAATTTGTAGGATGCGTATAAGTAGTGGGCTATTCAGTATAGAGAGGGCGCGAGAAGTCTCCGCTGCGGAGTTCTTGTTCATTAAGAGATCTCAAAGATTGAGTAGTTCGAGCAAGAGCAATTCGCGCATGCGATGTAACCGTAACATTTGTTGGACCCTACGAAGCAGGCGCGTTCCTGACGCGGGGGCAGGTGGGGCGGGGACGGGTCTTGGCTTGTCGAGTCCAACTTCAAACCTCTTCTGGCAATCCCTTTCACAACGCCAGCAATCCACGCAACCTCATTCGCCAGCATCGCGAAACTCTCGGCTGGCATCATGTATGCTATCACACAGACGGAAAGATGGATCGGTAATACGCACGATGAACACGAAATCACGTCAGCATCGCGTCGAGAGAAGAGCGAAGGAAGATTGACCTAATATGTACATCTCGATCTACGCATGCGATAACACCATGTCTAAATGCTCTAAGCCCCCGAGCTTTTGGTCCGATCAACGCCTTGTATGCTGCCCACCATGGAAGCGCTCATCAGAAACCACCCAACGATGCTGAAAAGAACGGTAACAGCCATGAACGACGTCGCGCGTAAGCGTAAGAGCAACATAACCACCCAGAATGCACTAGCTAACGTGATATAGATCACTGCTCACCCATCCACTTATCAAACTCCGACTCCTGTTCGAGCGACACCATGGTCGGGTCTGACTGCCAAGCTTGGTACTCATCATGCGGAAGATCCAACAAGCCATCAAGGTTGTGTTGCTCAAGCCTATCCTCTTGCATGTCCGGATGAGGGTTCCGGTATACGGCGTTCTGCAGCGCTGAAGGGTCGATGTCCGAATGACTTCCTCCGTCGTAAGCCAACAGCAATGGATCCAGCTGCCCCTCGTCGAATGATGAACTCATATTCGGGTGCAGCTGTTGCAGAAGATCGTTCGCATTACCTCCAGGCAATCCTAGCATCGATGGATTCGAGTGGAACTGCATGGAAGAGGATGGAGTGTCTACCCTCCTCATGTGCATGTCGTCTGCGTAGGTCGGACTGATCTGCATATTCGGGTAGGCGGTAGTCTGGTAGTACTGATTGTAGAGCTCGTTGTGGCTTATCGGCATCGGCATCGGTCGTCCTTCGTTTGTCATCTCCCAGGACGATCGGTTGATACCATTGCCATTCGGTCCGAACGACTGATCGAAGTACTCTACAGCAACACCATTTGACGGATAGCTGAATGATCGATCGATTCTCCTGGCCTGTCGGGGACGAGACCTGCCACCACCGGGTGCCCATTCGGCATCGTCAAGGTCGCTAGGTTCTTCTTCGTCAGACCACTCGCTTCTTCGCTTACGAGCCGGCGCTGCTGTCTTGCTAGGCGAGAACTTGTACGTCGGGTGTGCGTTTTGGTGGTTGATCCTCTCGATCTTTGCGTACTCGTTGTATAGCTCGCGGATCTCCGGCGGCTCCAGCGGCCAGCTCTCACCCGCTACGGACGATACGACTTGATGATTGTTTTGCAGACACCATGACTTGGCCCTTTCCGCAAACGCCGACCGGTACAACATGAACGAGTTCATGGGACGAGTGATGTATCCATTCCTCTTCTCAACTTCGCGTCTCCTGACATCCGCTGGCCTGTTGACCCATTCCTCCATATTCTTAACCGGGATATGATGTAACTCCTTAGTCAGTATGCTCAATGGCGCAGTAAGCTTGGGCGTCTTGTGCTTTTCGTTCTTCGGTGCTTTCGGCTTCTTCACTCTCGGTGTCGCTTTCCGTCTAGGGCTGGTCTCGTTCAGGCGTGGAGAACTGGACGACGTCGTTGCTCGTCCGCTACGAGTTGTCCTACGTCCGGAATCCTCATCGTTCGCGGATCTTGGTGTCGGTGGCGAGAACAAGGCTTGCTCGTTCTATCATCCATTAGCAATCGGGTCAGATACAACCGCCGACATTACTTACCTGCATGCCGTTATACGGCCCGTTCTGATAATACTCCGCTGGTGGACCATATCCCTCCTGTACCTCGATCAGCATGGTTACGTGTGTGAAGACGCAGGGACTCTTACATATTGTATACCTAGTCCGAGCCCACGAGGATGGTTGTCGGCATGTGACGCATGTGAAGGGATCCCTTCGTGCGCCACCGAGCCTGGCGAGCCGTACCCTGTCTCACCGAACGAATAGCCGCGATCGACGCCATATTGCGCAACTGGGTGCAGCCCGGACTGATAATCTGACCCAGCATTCGGTGGGGTCGGAGGATGTTGTTGGACGAGCGTGTCACCCCTCATCATGGCGAGTGTTGACGCACAAGTTAGTTGCTGCGACAGTGGAGATTGCGGACTGCCGATTGGCCTTGTTTCCGGACTCAACGCAACGCTTAAGCGATGGAGATCGATAGTTGAACAGAGCAAGCGCAACTGCGATGGATGGAATGACTCTTCTGTTGGTCAAAGGCCGCGCAACATGAAGACCGAAGGATTTTGTTGCTAGTGGATACCGAGATGCGTTCGTTGGTCTCTCGAGAAGATGCTGGATCAGCCTGTT